AGGTTGTCAGGTTGTTAACCTCAGCACGTAATGCGACATTTCTACTCTGTCTATGTACATTTCTGTTCCTGAATTAGATACTCGAGCGCCCGCTAAAGCACAAAGAACTTATATACTCAAAACTTCAGATCTTGTTGATATATTTTGTCTGACCGTTACCTTTTCCCTCATGAGTTCAAGGAAAGGCGGCTTGCATGCCGACTCGAGCTTTCATGAACTAAGTATGTTTTATACAAATGACAAAACGTTTTAAAGGAAGGACAACACTACAATGATTTAAAATGACATTGCTGAATGAGATGTACTCTGTTTTCACCGTACAATGTGCTCTTCGTCCGGTGGTAATTCACACACCTCCCAAATACTAGTGACAACTGAAGGTCTTTCATTTGTACTTTAAATGTGTGTAATGTGTTTTGGATAGACTTGTGTAAAGAAACTTCCCGACATGTCTCCCCCCAGAGGGTCTCACCCCATAGCAACATTTCCTCGCTCCGAGCCAAAAGCAGTGACCCTGAAAGCTGGTGGTTAATGACAACATGAACGTCTTGGTACACTGTCGTGCAGACAGCTGCCACCGGCGACATTCCCAAGTTTTCACAGTCAGGCAAGTTCAACTGCCTTTCCAATCCGCGGCGGTGTCAGCGGAATTCTCCCCTGTCAGAAGTGCTGGCGCTCAGACTACCAGTAACAATCCCCTGCTGTGCGGTCCCCACACACGCTGTGATCAGGGCCTCCACAGGGGACAGTAGGGTCCACCGTGGTATTCACAAACATGTCGATTTTAAAAGGTCATGGGAAGGTTTGGACTTGACTATTTCAGCCGTCGCTGCTTTCAATTTGTGGAATGGTTTGGGCAGAGATCCAAAAAGGGACAGTTCACACTACTTGTGTCTATTTGTCGCCATAGGGACTGCATTACAAGGGTGTCGGCAGTTGTGTTTGATACACCAACAGCAGAAATACTCTCTTAACCTGATAAGTGTCAGAAGTTGAACGAAAAATGTTACGGCAACCAGTGCAGGCGGAGAAGGAATCTTCAATAGGAGATCATTTGAAAAAGTCGTGGAATGACGGATAGCGCTTTAGTTTTTATAAATCTAAAACAGTCAATCGATGCATTGCAAGATTCGCACAACCCCACCGTTGTTACGCGAATCTAAGTATAGCATCAAGCGTTAGGGTGTGATTACCCACCATGCATCAACGAACAAGGAGGTAGATGTCACGCCCCCCTGAACTCTGTTCAGCTATCTAGTGAGAACAGAGCGACGAAAGAATTTGGCCCAGCCATTCTGGATGGAGTTTCCTCTTCCACGATACACTGTATGTTGTATCTACCGGTGTGTACTGATATCAATACAGTTATCCCAGAACCTACAATAATGGTGCTACATAGTTATAGATAGATGCTGACGATGGGCTAACGTTGATCTACATTTCCGTTTCTTTCAGGTGGACAGTATAGGACAAGAAGTACACAACGATGATGACTTCACTACCTCCTGTATCCATGAGTGTCCTTGTGGTCTGCCTACTGCTGGCTTTACAAACAGCACAGTCCTGCCCTGGCCCCTGCAGGTGCGAGGGGCACAAGGTTTACTGCAATTCTGTCGGACTCACCACCGTGCCCTCAGGAATTCCTTACGATACCAGGATTCTCGACTTAAGGAATAACGTAATTACCAGCCTAGGTGACGATTCCTTGGAGAATTTGACCTCACTCGTGGCGCTAGATCTCAGTCAAAACCGGTTGACCGAGTTTCCCAGAGAGGCACTGAAATGGCTGTTCACGCTGTCACGTCTTCACCTTGACGGCAATGCAATTGCAACTATTCCATCAAATGCATTCACTGCACAGCGAAACCTTCGAGAACTGACGCTGGGTTCCAACCGACTGACAGAGGTTCCCGTTGACGCCCTTACCGCGCTGTCAAAGCTGAGACGTCTGGCCCTCAACGAAAATCGCATCAACGCCATCCCAAACGATGCGTTTAGAGCACTGTCCTATCTAAGACTTCTAGCCCTGTGGAATAACTGTCTGGAGGACATACGACCGCGTGGTTTTCAGGGGCTTTCACGGGTTTCCACCATCGATCTGTCACACGCATGTCTGACAAGGGTTCCGTCGGAAGCGTTAAAATACGTACCACGTCTAACTAGTCTCCACATGGCTCATAATGAGATCACGTCATTGCCAGACGACGCTTTCCCTAACGTCCCAAAGCTCAGAGGACTGACACTGAACCACAACAGGATCGGCTCGATCAGCGCTAACGCGTTCCGCGGTCTAGCTCGCCTGGAATTTCTGAATCTACAGGAGAACAACCTGACCAGAGTACCTGAGGCCTTCAAGCACGTACCCAGCCTAACCACCCTGATGCTGAACCGGAACGCTATCCAGACGCTCTATCCATGGGACTTCCGGGCGCTACAGAGGCTTGCACACCTGTATTTGGCCTTTAACGGTTTTACGACGGTCACGCCCGAAGTGTTTTCGGAGTTAGCGAGCCTCGTGACGCTGGACGTGAGCGGGTTTTTTAACTGCGACTGTCGCCTGCGGGGCTTCAAAGAATGGATTGAGACCACCATGGTGAAAGTAGAGCAGGATCTTTCTTGTTCGTCCCCGCCACACCTACAGGGACGACAACTGCGTTGGATTCCCAGAAGTTCACTGATGTGTGGAGTACGAGACGCTGGTCCTCCCCCGACGCCCCTACACTGCCCAGTATATTGCTCATGTGAAGACCGCCAAGTCTCGTGTAACAACGCGCAGCTTACAGGTGTGCCCGGTGATATTCCAGACGGAGCCATTAGTCTAGAACTGTCGAGAAACCTGATAACTACAGTCAACAGCGACATGCTGCTTCGACTATCGGATCTGCAGAACCTTGAACTGAACAATAACCAGCTAGCTGCTGTTCCGATTGAATCCTTACAGCACCTTAGTGAACTGTTGTCGCTGGGCTTGTCAAGTAACCGATTGACTGATGTACCCCAGCAATCGTTTCTGGGATGTCCCAATTTGTTACGCCTTGACCTGTCACAGAACAATTTGTCCTCGGTCCCGAGTGAAGCCCTTGTCCCTTTGTGGCAGCTGCATACTTTAGACATCAGCTACAATATCATCAAGAATCTCGGCAGGGAGGTCTTGGCTGGACTTGCTCGTTTGCATGTTTTGGTACTTAACGGTAACTGCTTCCAAGCGTTGGAGGAGGACGTCTTGTTGCACGTGCCAAATCTTCGCCGTCTGCACCTGGAACGTACATGTCTGCGGTCCGTCCCATCGACCGGCCTGTCAGGTCTGAATCGGCTCCAACAGCTAGATCTGTCCGGCAACCAGCTCACATCTGTTCCGCCGGGAGCGTTCAAAGGCATGCCTGAACTCAGAGGCCTCGATCTCAGCGAGAACATGATTTCATCCATCGACTCTGCAGCTTTTCATAACCTCCCCCGACTGGACACAATAACGCTGAATCGGAACAACCTCAGGTTTGTGCCTCGGGAGGCATTGGCTACGCTGCCGACATTGTCAGCCGTCGATCTCAGCAGGAACAAGCTGCGGGAACTGGACAGCCGTGACTTCTCAGGAATAAGAGGAGACTTGACGCTTGGGCTTAGCTACAACAGGATTGAGACGGTGGGCGCAGATGTCTTGTCAAGTATTTCATCGTTGAGGTGAGTACATTTCTCGCAACCTCTCCCTGATTCATGAAAAATCCCTATTTTTGCCCTCTCACATGTTTTTATGACTCCTAAGTCTGATAAGATTTTGCAGTAAGGGGTTAGGTATCGCAGAGTCAACGTTCTAGATGTACTTGTCATACCTTGTCATGAAATTATGAAATCCAGTTGTTTAATATCATTGGCTTAATTTAACGTCGGAATATTTGTTTCCATTTGCTCAGACAAGTCTACCTGCAAGGAAACCCGTGGGCGTGCAACTGTGAGTTACGAGGACTGAGAGAATGGATGGACGACAGCGACACAATACCCAGTTCTATAGGTGAGACCACACTTCTTTTATAGACCAAACGTCCTATCATAAGATGTGATGGTCACTTCATTCTTATCTAGGCCTGTGTGCGCTAACTGTTGCCACGGACATGTCCTCCCAAACATTGGTGGCGGCTTAGATGAAGACAGGTCTTTGTAATGATTAGAACTTTTCCTCCAGGCTCTGCTGTTGAGAGAGATGTGACATGTGACAGCCCTACAAACCTGTCAGGCGAGGCAGTGGTTGACGTCTCTGCAGACGACCTGACGTGCCCAGAAAATAGAAATCCACCTTCTTTTGAGAACTACGATGACGGTAATGGCAAGGACCAGGAAGGTAACCCGGACGAGTGTCCTCATCAGTGCCACTGCCGAGAGTCGGAAATCTCCTGCAGCAACAGGGGGATCACGGCGGTCCCTCACAACATCCCGAAGAGCACGACCTTTCTTGACCTTGGAGAAAACAAAATAGAAAATATTCACTTACTGCATTTCTTCAAATTACAAAACTTGCGGACTCTGATATTGAGAGATAACAGGCTATCGGACTTCCCTTTGGAGGCCCTGGAGTCTTTGCGGTCTCTGCAAAAACTTATTATGGAGAATAACGCCATCCATTCCATTCCACCTGATGCATTTACGTCCCTCCTGCAGCTCCGCGAGCTGTCACTGGACGCGCACAACCCTGAAAGCTTCTCTTTGGGACAGCTCGAGCCGCTCAAACAACTCCGAAAATTGGTCATCAACGGACAGAGTCTGCCAGAAATCCCCGCTCGAGCTTTCTATGGGCTGTCACGTCTTCGCATCCTGGTGTTGCGGTTATCTTGCACCACGGTCATCGATGCTCGTGCGTTTGACGACCTTGACAACTTGCGGAGATTAGACATAAGTGGGACATGCATCTCCAATGTCGGTGAGTTCGTTAAGACCCTAGCTCAGGCTACAGCCTTAGAATCACTCATCCTAGCCGAGAATGGGATAAAACGAATCCCGAGAGCGCCATTCCTACCCATGATCAACTTGCGTTTCTTAGATCTCAGCAGAAATGGGGTGGAGAGAATTGACGCCGAAGCATTCCGCGGTATATCCCGACTCTTGTCCCTCACTATGGACGACAATCTTCTAAAATCTGTTCCGTCGGAAGCGTTTCATCACCTGCCCAGTCTTCGGATTTTGAGCTTGCGCAACAACTCTATCAAAGTGGTGAGGAACGAGGATTTGGTTCCCCTGATGAAGCTGACAGAACTTCATCTAGACTCCAATCAGATCAGATCCCTAGGAAGAAAAGTCTTCAACGAACTGGAGGATCTCAGTGCCGTCTCCATTTCCAACAACCCGTTTGAATGTGACTGCGGACTGAAACACGTGCGAGGATCGCTGGAGGAGTACACGTTTGGTATAGGACTGGAGGTGGAGGATATGATCTGTGCCGGTCCAGACTTTCTGACTGGCAAGAAGATCAGAGCCTTGCTAGAAGAAGACTTTGTTTGTGGAAGTGATGAGCAAAACAAGCGCGCGCAGATTCTTCTTGAAGCTGAAAAGACTGGGAACATTTGTCCTGATAAATGTGAATGTGAAGATACGGAAGTAACTTGCATACGACGCAGTCTCATCGAGTTCCCGGATAAACTACCACGAACTGTGACGGAACTCTCCCTTTCAGCTAACCACATCACAGAAATTCCCCAACACACGGTCACTGGCCTGGATAGACTGCAGTACTTACGTCTGAACAACAACCGTCTAACGTCTGTCCCGTCAGATGCCCTGAAGGATTTACCTTCCTTGAAGCGTCTTGACCTCTCTGGAAACAACATCAATACATTCGCAGACGACGCCTTCAGGGATCTAGGTAACCTGACATCACTGTTGCTGGCAGAGAACAACCTTACAGAAGTTCCTCACTCAGCCCTAAAGCCGCTCTCTCACCTCCAGGAGCTTTATCTGGGTACGAATAGCATCAGGAAGCTAACAAAATCACCATTCCCGTATTTGAAAAACCTCCGCTTCCTGTCCCTTTCTGGGAACTGCATGAAGATGGTGGAGCACGACGCCTTCAATAGACTACGCAACCTCCTGTCCCTGGATCTCTCGAGAACGTCTCTGAAACATGTACCGTCCAACGCACTGTCACAACTGGGGCAGCTCCGGACTCTGGACCTCTCCCAGAACGACATCCGGTACGTCCATGGTGGTGCCTTCCGGGGACTAGAACAGCTGAGGGTGCTGTATATCGCCAGGAACCGCATAGGGGCCATCCACAATCGGGCCTTTGAAGGTCTGGTCCATCTCACAGCCATCTCCCTGTTTGACAACAAGTTGAGGAGGATACCCGGGGCTCTACAGTCACTCCCGCTATTGTCACAGGTGAGCAGTCTATATCTATGTGCTTATCCACCCAATTGGTATTAAAAATCATATCATTGCCAAAAGCATCCTAATACGCCTGTCATGCATTCACACAGTTTCTTCGCTGCTTTTCAGGTGACCATCTCAAGAAACAGGCTGCGCCAAATCCGGAGCATAGACGTTCCTCGCCTGGCAGGCATGGCGACTTTGAGTCTGAGGGAAAACCGCATAGACTCCATAAACCCGTCCGTGTTCTCAGCGATATCTTTCCTAAGGTAAAATTCTTGTCTTTCGTCACAAATAAACACACTAACTATACACTTTGTGGAAATGTAAGTCTGTGGAATAGGGTTTCATACGTTAGTTCATAACATTGGTTTGTCTATGTGTAAGGGGTTGAAAATGACACTTTTTATGTATAATGCTTTTGTAGCCTTTATGATAATCTGGTTATGCTAATTCGAGGCTTTGATGATAGGAACATCAAGGACATGTCGTACAGGTGCGAAATGTCGTGTTGTTCCCTTGCTAGACGACTGTCTGCAATGCAATCTGTGGTTTGTCTGGGATTTGAAAATAAAAGCTGGGAGTTCTGTGGGTTGGGAGAACAGTCTAGGAGACAGTCTGAGACAGAGACAGCTCGAGAGAGGGTTACAGAGAAGACTGTCCCAGCCCATCGTCTCCCGTGCGTGCGTGACGGCAATGCCTGTGTCCTGCGTGTGTTCTTGCTAGCCCTGTAGTTAGTCTCCCGTGCAGCATCCGAAAAGAGCCTGGTGAATACCACCGTCATCACAGTCGTCTAGCAAGGGAACAACACAACATTTCGCACCTGTACGACATGTCCTTGATGTTCCTATCATCAAAGCCTCGAATTAGCATAACCATATTATCATAAAGGCTACAAAAGCATTATACATAAAAAGTGTCATTTTCAACTCCTTACATATGCAGCGGTGACAACATCGCGTGTACTGGGGATTAGGAATTCCGTGGTGTAAAATGCCACCGCTTTGTATGTACATGTCTGTGGAAGTGCAGTTCAGCACCAAGGAGAGTGCCAAGAGGCATATGTACTGAATACTACGCAGGATAGTCAGTAACTTCTTGTTGTGTCCACAGCCACATAGACCTGGACAGGAACCCTTGGCGGTGTGACTGCCACCTGCGCGGCCTGCGTGAGTGGTTAGAGGATCACGTGGACATTGTCAACCCACGCCTGCACCCTGCATGTGCCGGCCCCACCAACCTACAGGACAAGCGGCTGATTGACATCCTGCCTGAGGATTTCACATGCTCCAACCAAGATGGCTTCCTGTACTTCTACCGGTACCTGACGACAAGGGAGACACAGGACGACCAGCCGGCCGCGCTGACAGCGACACCTGATGGTAAAAAGCAGAAGTACACGCGAGACGATCTGTATGCCTTCCACCGGAGGATGCAGCGCATCATGGAGCGGTTGGCAAGCATTCGAAAGTACCTCAAGAAAAGGGGTTAGGTGGCAAACTCAACGGCAACCTGGACAAAACGTTCGTTATGTTATCCTGCATATGGAAGCGCGGTTTGTTTTATGAAGCAGATTTCTGTTCTGAAGCCATACATGTGTAACCTACTTAAACATGTATTGCTGACAGATACACTACATTTAGTGAGAAAATCATTCACTGTTTTATGATATCAGTTTCCATCACTATATGACTGGTTGTATTTATGATCAGGAAAGCTTCATTTGCATCAAGAAGTTTAACTTTATTTATATGTTATGTGTTGTAACAGGAATATGTATCCACTTAATACTAAAACGGTATAATTATATCTAATTGTTGTAGATGTCTCTTGTTGAGCGCCTAACACTTGTAAAACTTATTATTTCCATGGATATTGAAATGTAATTAGTAAGACATCAGGCATAGTTGATGGATAGTTAATATATTAACTCTAATTCAACTATCAGGAAACAGCACGACGACACTTTGTTTTCAAAGATGTTTTTCCTATTGATACACCACAAAACATATAAACACAGCCAATAAGGTACAACAGCCGCAAGGTACCGGTACTAAAACACATCAGGAAGACCGTGACCGAGCCTGCGACTCAGGTTCACAAATTATTTTAAAAAATCATAGATTGTTTTTGGGGTTACACTTCATCTCTCAATTATCGTTGATATTGACGATATCTTTGTCGAATGCAAAAATAGCAAGTTTTGCCAAGCGTTTTCTCAAAGGCACGCAGGAAGTCATGAGTGTTATACTGTGGAGCTGTTTCTCCTCTCTCGTCCTCTTTCAGAGTTTGTCATGAGCCACACCCCTTCCTGTTCCCTATCCCCATCATCAGGAAGGTCATGCTTCGCTTGAATTGCCCGTAAGTCCTCAGAGCTATGTACAGGTGGCTCCAGCTCCTCTGCACTATCATGTCCTGTTTCCGAATTCTCTCCACCTGAACAATCGCAATGCTGAGTTTTTACGTCACTGTTCGGAAGTGACGGTATGTCTGCCTTGTATTGTAAAAGATCTGTATCATTACGAAGTTTGACATAGTGGAGGTCTCCCTCGCTCCTGGCCGGTGCAGGGCGATGGCGCTTCTTCCAATGCGCGACACCGCCCGGCCCTCCGTTCGCTTCAGCCTTAGGTTTGAGATCACCGGACGACTTGGACGTCTTCTTCTCACCACATGAGAGACAATGAGCCCTTTCCTCCGCCTTTGACTGTAGTCTAAAGGTGAATACAAAATAAATCATTACAAACTATCTGATGGATTAAGCATGTTGAAGAGACATCTGCTTTTTCTTGTTTTGCACAATAAGAAAATAGTTGTAATGAAACATGAAAGTACATGTGTAATTAGAGGCAAGAGAATTCGAAAACTGACTTTTCTTTTTCTTTGCCCTCCAGTTGTATAGGGTCCTCCACGTCTGTGTCCGTACTAGGTATCGGTAGCAAGACATCGTGGTCATTCCTGGTGAACACCCACCGGGCCACCAGAGCCGCGACCATCATCTCCAGGATGATCAGGCAGTTATGGATGTCTGTCAAAACATTTATGGTATTGTAATGTATTGCTTGGTTTCAAATTCAATTCATCAAAATATCCTTAAGATGAAAGAATATTATAGATATATATATTGATTATAGATATTAAAGAATCACATGTCACAATTGATTACAAATGCTTCACACAAACATGCAGCATGGCTATAGTTCAGGTTTAACGACCCCCCCACACACACACACACAAACACACATAATTCTATAACAATACATACAGTCCGCTCGCGTCTTGGCTGAGAACTGAGGTCCACAAGGGATGACACGGAACGAGGCCAACAAACTCAGCAGCATTTTCTGTATCCCTGCCAGAGCTGCTGCAATCTGTGATACGAGCGGAAAATGACAAGCGTTCATCCAGGTGATCAGTTGATAGACTAGCCATGGGACCATGTTTGTAACTTATGCTTGCTTATAACAGTAGCGTTGAAGAATCCCGGGGACCTACGACAGTCACACATGAACCTGGCACTATCTAATGTGCGTTGTCAATCCTCGTTTCCGTAACAATATTTTCCTTTTATTTCATTTGAAGAATATACCCGCCTTGTTTAAATGTTTACATCATTTTCCTTCGGATTTTCCTTTTAATCCAGTCCAAACGTACTCCTGACCCCTGCATTAGTATTTTCCATTAAATTATGATTTGATTGACAGGTCCTGAAGAAACTAAGACTGCAAAGGCAATTAAACATCGGATCTGAACGCTGACTGGGCCAGTGTACCCCTGCGTTACCGTTACGTGTTTGCTCTTTTAACTATTGTTCTCTCTTTACTAAGAGAGTGGCAGGAAAGCAGCCTTGTCAAACCACATCGTCGTGTTTACTTACAACCTCCTTGACCTGTCAATGAGCACTAAAGGTAAGGGTGCCACGGGCTACATTTCATCGGTATAACTATGCGACTTTAAAGGTCGAGGTAAACCTGTTCTCGGTGATGTATAGATACTAGTATATCGTTGGTAATGTCACAGTTACGAGTTTCAACGCCCACCTTGCGTTTATAACCCCGTGTGTACATAGAGGTTTAGAGGGTCGGTGGAATCTGGCCCAGTAATTTCATCATATTCATGCAGTTCGTAATCATTTGCAATGTGCTGTGTGTTACCTGAACAAGCAGGTTCTTCAGTGAGATGCTCTTCCCCTTGAGAGGTTTGGTAACGCAGGGCTGTAGCACCACGAACCCGTAGATACCGAACAGAGTAGATATCGTTTCCAACCCCTCCACGAAGTTGTTCACGCTTGGTCCGGACTCCTGGACGAGAAAGGCGTACGTGAATATGCGAAAAACATCGAGTGTTGGGTTGTACCTTGTACCCTAATTCATTTGCCAGTCATAGATCTGAACAAGATCCATAGCCATCAAAAGGTTAGAAATACTAGTGACATTTGCAAGAAAGCTAGAGATAACCCGGTAATAAGTAATCATCATATAGAAACATGTTGTCTCGGCATTGAACAAGGCTCCCATGTTGACACATGATACTGTATTAGAATAACAGGTTGTCACCATCTGTCCCAGGCCGTACTTCCCGTCGCTCCAGGTGACCAGCGCGATGAAGTACAGGATGGGCCGCATGATGGCCATCTGCATCACCGCCAGCTTCAGCCGCCCAAGCGTGCCTCTGGATTACAAAAGGAAACAAGCGCTTAAAATTTTCGGCCTACTCAATTAAAATTAGACTTGCAACGTATTAAGAGTGATAACATAACTGTGGAGTGCCAGTATATAGTAGAGGGGATTCATTCCTCAAGCTACCGACATCTTGCACACGCAGTCGTCCCTCAGTAAGACATCTGGAGCCGCATAGTTCCCGTCTAGAACTTTTATTCAGCCTGTCACACATGTCATAACTGTGGAGTGCCATTTTACTGTCATCACCATTGGCTGCACTTCAGTTGAAGACATTAAACTCAAACAAAACTAGTCTATATTGTGACGTTAGGTACCAATATATTTGGTAGAAGACATCTAGTCTTGTTGTCGACAGCTATGTCGAAAGTGACAATAATAAAACGGAGACAAATGAAGAAGTTTCTTAGATGTAAAACACGTGCGTACAGTGTCATGTCTACTTGCGGCAGACAGCAGCAACAGCAACAACATGGTGGGCGGCGGAGGGATACCTTCAAACCAGACAACGTTGTCACCAGTTCCTCATCACCACCGAAGTAGTCCACTATCAGCATGAAGAACTGATACACTGCAACTGCGAAATAGCTGGAAAAGGAATTCATGGAAAATACTACTGTCATTCATCTATAGTGTTGCTACTCTTAATCGGATGATGTAATCTGACAAAAACATGAATATTTCTATAAACACGTAACGCTATGTACTACAAAATGCAGGAGTCTCTGTCCACTCTGCCAAGTGTTGTCCAGCACTCACATGTTAGCCGCAAATCCACCAATCAGGTTTGACCTCGGGATGTAGAGACTCATCAGCGATGTCAGGGAGAAGACCTGTGAAGATAAACATTCACGCACACTGTCTTGGGTCACTTCATACAGAGTAAAAAGCTTTTGGCATTGTAACATAGTTTCCTCTCCTGCTAATAAAACGCACGCATCATATTGCAGTATAGAAAATCCTACCGGGTAGGTTCCGAGGATCCAGACGATTCTGTTCCTGGTGTTCCTCCCCGGCAGGCGTCTGGTGGCGAAACACAGCTCCTCCATGAACAGGAACAGAGTGAAGAACGTCACGAACGTGGCAGAAACGATGATAGCTTCTTCTGCCTGCCCCAGTTCTGGAATTGAAGATTGATTCAGGTTAAGTAATTCATTCTGCTAATAACAATCGAATTTTACAAAGATACAGGTATTAAACAATTTCGTGAAAGCTTGTGCCAGGCGGATAAGACTTTTTATGTTTCATGGCAACTTTTTTGTCTTTCTTGACTTGATTGAACCTATATGCCCAGGGCGTCTCTAGGCCCAACACAAGTCACAGGACAAGCTACTGAAGTGGAGACTTATGTACATTTTAGACATGGTTGTGGTCTATATAAGACTATTTATTGTTGGTTATGTACTAGTTCCTGGCCAACGGGTCAGCTGCAGTACTTTAGCTCGGAATGATGTCCTTGATATAACGCGCGTGACGTAGTGGTGGTCCCGGGGAGCCATGGTAGAAAAATAAATACACGCTGTTAATCAAACTTAATGGCTTCACCGCTGCCGTCGGCATCCATTTGGATCTAACGCCACTGATGGATGATTCTGTATTTTTCCTTCCCGTTTTTCTCCTTCTGTCTCGCCGCTAACCCAATGTCCTCTGTACCCTCATTACATCGCGTTACCTGGGCACTTCATCACCTGTCAGAAGTCCCCCCAGGGTGCACATGCCCGGTCAACACAGGTAATTCACCTGTTGGCATGGGTGGGGGCGTTTCATACTAGTATGACGTCTGCGAGGAAAATTCTCTCCAGACTAACACTACAGGAATGGCGTCAGTAAATGCAAATGGTAACGCAGTCACAGTCAAGCTTAATCGCTGATTGGTAGTTTGTGTTTAAAGTAGAACTCATGTGTACTGGAACTGTCAATTGTTATCTTGAAGTGGCTACAAATCTGCCCAGCAATTACGCCCAGCACTGTCGGCGAGCAGCCCATAATTCTTCCGTAAAGTGCTCGTCTCAGCAGAGTGATTTGCCCACACTTCGGCAGCAGTATGTGGGGCGATGCAATGTTGTTTGTACGAAGGACGAAAACGACAAAATTTGTGCTCAACGAAGGAATTGAATTCAACAGAGAAGGGACTAATTTCAACAGAGAATGAGCTAAATTCAACAGTGAAGGGGCTGTGCTCAGCGAACGTACTGTGTTCAGCGAAGGGGCTGTGCTCAGCGAACGCACTGTGCTCAGCGAAGGCGCTCACGGTGTTCAGCGAAGGGGCTGTGTTCTGCGAATGCGCCGTGTTCAGCGAAGGGGCTGTGCTCAGCGAACGCACTGTGCTCAGCGAAGGCGCTGTGTTCAGCGAAGGGGCTGTGCTCAGCGAAGGCGCTCACGGTGTTCAGCGAAGGGGCTGTGTTCAGCGAAGGGGCTGCCAACAAGACTGCGAAGGAGGCTAGTGTATATGTATCTGTTCGTCTTGTCTTGTTTTGTTGTGACCTATACTATAAGGGTGGCGAAATGCCCAATAAAGGTCGTCATTCATTCCTCTATTTTATAACAATCATCTTGAAAGTTCATGATTATTATTTTGAATCCGGTTGTTGCATAAATTGCAGGACTGTCGGATAAATTGTAGGACTGTCGAGCCTGATTGGAAAAGGAAAAAATGGTGCGATATCTTTTATAATTAGGGATGTTAGGGCATCAACACTCAGAGCACAGTCCCTTCGCTAAGCACAGTGCTTCCACTGAGCACAGCCCCTTCGCTGAACACAGCCCCTTCGCTGAACACCGTGAGCGCCTTCGCTGAGCACAGCGCCTTCGCTGAACACAGCTCCTTCGCTGAGCACAGTGCGTTCGCTGAGCACAGCCCCTTCGCTGAGCACAGTACGTTCGCTGAGCACAGCCCCTTCGCTGTTGAATTTAGCTCATTCTCTACATTCTCTGTTGAAATTAGTCCCTTCTCTGTTGAATTCAATTCCTTCGTTGAGCACAAATTTTGTCGTTTTCGTCCTTCGTATGTTTGGGCACTTAACAAATGTAAAGTTGGAAACGATTGGAATTTAAACACCCTGCGTCAGGATGTGTGTCCTGTAGATGCCGTGCCAGTAGTAAGTAATAATCAACAGTAGACATTGTACCCAGGCCTGATTGTACCTTTGGGGCTACGCTACAAACGTCGTAAGTACTCATTTAGAAACTCGATACAACATCTGTTTACCCTTAGGGGCAAAAATCAAAATACCACAGGCTACCCGCTGCGGCCACAGTAATGTGCGGACCAGATTTAGCAGATGTCACGTATGAGACAGAGTTCTGTTGTCTTTTCATATCATATCATATCATATCATATCATATCATATCATATCATATCATTCGTTTGCTTTCTTGATAGTCTATTCCTTCCTAAGTTTGTTATACAAGAATACGTCAACAAGCGGATCCAGCATATTTTTCTAATACAACCATAGTTGTGGCAAGGACATTAATACTGTACTCGTATAATGTCCTTGGTTGTGGTGATAGCCTCACGGCCTGCGAAAGGAAACATGTTTTTGAAATCCACATTTTCACAACCAGTGAATCGGGAATCCTGCTTCCAATAAAAGGTTTCAAATGTCAGAATGAGTGGCATAACAACAACATTTTAACGAGGCCTTTTGATCTATTTTAAACCATAGGGATGAAACGTATATTATGCTATGTAACCCCAAAATAAATTGTTGAAACACCTTCCATGGTAAAAACATATGATTATGTCCTATCGGTCGATCCTTTCCTATCAAAGAACTGTGCATGGCAGCTACTGGCATTTATAAACCTTTCGTCAACATTCTCAACATACATCTGATTATTATAATTATGAACAAATAATACAGTGTATTCAACTGGTTCAGTCTATTCAACTGTCGGACTGATTTTCCAAGCTGTTAAAAAGCGCAGAAGGATTAGCTTCGAGAAGAGAAGATCATATATTGTCCATATGGCCTAGGGTTATCATTTGTGAAGTGTGCACGTACAAACAGTCACACCACATGTCAGTGACACCGGTGTAGTGTGCACGGTGTCGGCAGTCCAAAGGTCGCGACAGAGAACTAAATGTAACAGTGAAGTTAAATACCCGGCGAAAGTTTGCACACAGGGAAAACTGACATGGCGACTAGAGGGAGAAAACTGCTTGTCGCAGTTTGAGAAGCTGTCTTCGAGACCAATTTACTCTACACAGATGGCTATTGTACGTGAAGTTATAAATTGAAGAGCGTCATCGGTAAATAGACTAGCGTCAACCCTCTCTAGATGGCTTGTGCCTCAACTCTAAACCAGAGATCGTAACATTGTGGTTTCTTACTAACAAACCACATATTCTTCAGATCTAACACAGAGTGGTGTGGGCTTCGTCACAGGGGCCGGAGAGGAGATAAAACAAACCAACGAAAGCATCAAAACAAAGTGGTGACCTACGTTGCAAATATTCTGCCGCTTGTGGCGTTTCTTCGCTACAGTTCAACATCTTGGCAGCATTTGCAGTTGTGCCAACGCAACGTGGTCTTGAAATGGCGTGGTTGTTAGGAGTAGGCCCACGGTACGCTGTGACGGAATGGACCACAGACCAGTGGTACTTCGGCGCCGGAAACGCACTGATGTGGGGTTGACGGGACGGGGGAGCCCGCCTGGTGCTGGCTGTGGGCGGAAATGGTCTGTCCGTCACAAGTCGTAAATTGTTCTCGCGCACAGAGTTCCGTCCTGACATTTACGACATGAGTGACAAGGCACACATGTGAGCTACTCTGGCAGAAATGGTGCAAATAAAGATAGGAATACATTTAAACTACTACAGCTTAATAGATTATTTTCCGAATGTAAAACACCTGGCAGGTGAGGATCATATACCTTTTTCTGTACTTCTTTCCCCCCCTAACATCCCCGGCCTCCTCTCAGGGTATAGACCTTGTAACGTATCTGCACACGTGCATAGGTTACCAGTCTCCAAGCAGATGTAGGGTCCGCCTTCTTTACGCGTGTTTGCGGCGTAGATATTTTTTTTTCTACTGAAAGATCTACACATGCTTTATGACGGGCTCCTACATGTTTCTCCGTGTTCATTTTGGTTAGGCCATGTTGATTTGACTATATGGATGACATCCGCGCGCGCATGAATTTTTGGCCGTTTCCGAAATAAAAAGTTTTCAACCATACTGTAAATCGTACAAAACAGTTGCAAAATGAGCAAATATATACCGTAAGTTGCAAAAAAAATATTGGAAAAGGATACCAATGTCGTAGAGTGACAAAATTCAACGAGAAAAGACGAAAATGTAAAGAAATGAATTTGAGTAGATTATTCCCATACTCTGTGTCTTTTGTTCAACCTTCATGACCACGTAGATATCATAATGAAAGCTATTATTTTGCCAAACGTTTTTTTTTCGCACGATCGCATCAGTATTGGGGTTCCCTGTGGAATTCATCCATATAATCAAATCAACATGATGTACATTAAGTCCGGGTATATAAATAACATCAACTTCATCGTGTTGTTTGGTATTGCGGTACTGTTATGTATGTTTATCGATACCGGAACTATTACTTATCAAACAGGAAAAACGTTAGCCATAATCCCATTAGAATAACACGGGCAAATCGTTTAGCCTGGAGTCCAGCCTTGCTAGCTGTAGTCCGCTCCCCAACATTCGCTACCCCGCCTGAGTAAGGATAGACTACGATGAGTTTGCAAAAAAAAACGTCCTTGAATAGACTGCATTGTTTTGGGTTCCGCTCCGTCAGCAGTGAACAGATGTGACGTCATCTGGTACAAAGTTTTCCCTCTCCTGTGACCGGCGCGGTGAGGTGTGGTCTGGCGTGTGTACTTTGAAAACAAAGAGACACGGAAAACAAGGCTAGGCTGCCATGACTACCCCGAACATGGCGACTTCTACGGGTGGAAAGAAGAAATCGGCAACGGTGTCCGTCCGTATTGACTACAAGTAAGTGGACTACTCCCTTCCTAGTAAAAATCATTCTGCAGCGGATGACCGGTGGTAATACTGAGCTCTTGCAGTGTCTTGCATGACATCTACTTCCCTAAACAAACAGTAATCAATAACTATTAAATGTGACCCCCACCCCCCAGGTCAGATGCGCAACCATAGAACTTGTTCTTTAACTAAAGACTAGTCATATCCTTCGTGAACAGAAGGGCAATTAATCATGTCATTGTTGTATTGATACTTGAAAGAACTGTCGACTGAACTCTAACCAAATAGTTGTTTGTTTAAAATCCGTATGCTTGTCTTCCATCGGTAGTATGGCATGAGGTTTCCCGCGACGCTTCCGGGACCTGGCCCGGCAACTCCGCCAGGCCTTCCCGGGATCAGAGGTGGTGGGCAAGATCATCAGCAAGCCAGGTGAGATGTCAGGATGATGAGGATTACATTTGCACTGCATGTACATGTACTCAGCACCGAGCGCTAATGCCATATGTCTTTTAAAATTCATCACGAACTTCCTCGTTTCTTTCTAGAACGCAACAGTACTTTGCACTGAGAATCGGAAGTTGAACGACCACTTCCGAAGCACTAGACTATGTAATAGTATATGAACTAGAAAGGCCAATATTTGCTTTGGAGCAAATACAGCGATGGGTTCACCACATTTTACCACATGGCAGGGAAAGAATGAGAAACACAAGGGAAAACAATGAAATTACATTGATATAACTATAATATGAAGTAACATACAACTAAAACAACAGTTGGATAGCTATTCCCTACTTTATTGGTTAGGATTTTTAATTGCATAATGCAAACTGTTGATTTTCAAAATAAAATAAAAAACGTTCATGCCCCGCATTCCAATGCTGGAGCAGAAAAGCTTGAAATACCTACCAAAACACTTGAATAAAGACATACTGTCAGTATGGAAATGCTCTGTGCAGGTGTTAATCAAGTTAAATCCCAACAGCCAATCAGCAAGAAATGCTCTGTGCAGGTGGAAATGCTCTGTGCGGGTGTTAATCAAGTTAAATCCCAACA